GGTTTTCTTGCTCTCTCGGATAATGCCTTGCTTCATGCATCCCTCTTTGAAGACTCCCTTTTGTCCTTGTCTCACTACAGCCGAGAAGAGGGTGGGAGGGGAAAGATTGTAGTCTTTGTAGACCTTCATAATAGAGCCATTCCCCTGGAACAGGGAGGAGAAGAGAGCAACAGCCCTGGGTAGAGAGAAAGAAGGAGAGCAAAGGAACCCTGAGGGGATATGATTAGACTTGAATCATCCATCATTCTTCGCTAAGACAATCCTGCCTGGTTGAGAAGAACTTTTGTTTGCTTCACTTCAACTTTTCATCATTGTAATTTGGAAACTTGCACTCGGAAGTGGTTTCTCTCGTCATTCTTTTGACATTTTTGCAGGCCATTTTTCTGGAGCGGCTTAAACAGTGGAACGGAGTCGACAAAGCACTTTGTCGTTTGCGGAACATTCCTCTCCTTTTCCCGTTTCCAAAGTTATCGCTCCCGCGCCACTCCCACTCATTTCCCAACGTTGATCCATCTACCCACTCCCTCATCATCTATCTATCAACCCAGTTGTTCACCTTGTCGCATCGCTCGGAACAAGTCGACGTCGAAGCGCTGATATCAAAATTCCTATCGGTCTGAATTTCACCACCCAGTCTCTCCCTGGTCTTATCGTGACCTCCTCCGGCGCAAATCCAGCGCTGCCCGCGCAACCGGCGCACACAACAATCCGCGATCTTGACCAACCACCATACCCTCTACTATCGCACATTCCTTCGTGTCTCAATATCCTCTCCACGCAATTATCGCACCTCTGCGCAATCATGTTGCTCCCATCTGCTTTACCCTGCGACATGCGCCGCCCCGCGCCTCAGTCATGCCTGGATCCCAGCCGCCAATTCACAACCCCCCCACCATCCGACGATGACTTCCCATCTAGCAATGGCCTCTTGGGCACCTGTCGCGCCCTCCAATCGCTTCTAAATGCATCGCCCGCCCCTTCGCCACGATGCGCAAAGCCAGAGCGCCTCCAAAGTCCCCTTCACTTCAGATCCACGCCTTCCGCCCGGTCGCGGAAGCAAAGGGACCCCAAATCATCACCCAAGCCTTCGCGAAGCGCCAACAAACGCAAGCGCGATCGCTGCGAGGGAAATGATGACACCAGCGACACAGAAATTACTACTCGTGGCATGCGCTTCTCGACCCCGAAGCGCACTCGTCACGCCCCCTATGAGCTTCCTTTGGGTCTCTCGCAATCAGACTTCTATGCCCTCCACTCTCCACCAATCTCACAGTCGCCTCCGTCGCCTGCGCATTGTCGCCAACTGGAACTAAGTCCGGAGCAAAGCGCACAGCTGTTTAACCCCGACGCAGTGTTGCCATCTATCGAGGAGACGCAAGAAACTCCGTCAAATGAGACCTGGAATGCGGACGACGACCAGCGACTTGTCGAGTTGGTTCTTCAGAATTTCCAGCTTTCCCAGCGAGATCTGGAGGACTATGCGCGCCGCATGGGCAAAGACGATGCCAGCGTCGGACGTCGATGGCAGGCTCTTGTGGGAGGGGGCAATGTCGGGCTACGAGGTCGACGAGTGGTTCGTCCTCGTTGGGTATAGAAGCCCACTCTTTTCCTCTTTCTTCTTCTCCACGACCCTCGCACCCTATCCTTCCTCTCCCCATCCTTTCTTCACCTTTCTATGAACATCTTTGACGGATATCCGGTATCATGTATTCTACGGGCTCACGGTTTGCTTTTTCTTTCGACTCCACACCGATGTACTACTACCCTATCTCTTCTTCACAACTTGTCTTTTTGAATTTATCCCCGTCACGTCTGGACTGAGATTGATTGTCCTCTTCATTCCCCCACCTTTACTGTATCACACTTCCGCTCTGCTTTCACCTTATGAGTTCTATGTATTATCTACGTGCCAGTGACTTGAGGTTATCGACTGTACACCAGAGTGTGTCCCTCCTCCCTTCGATTTTCTTGTATGATTTATCTTTAACCTTTTCTTTTTTTTTTTTTTCTTTTTCTTCAATACTGTGATGTGCATTATTAGTTGCTTTTATTTTCCTATACGGACAATGGTCTCGTGTCTGGGGATAAGAATGGGTTGGATCAAAATCAATATTCTTTTTCTTCTACTTCCATATAGGAATCTTCTTCATAGCGTATTTAAGCTTGTAGAGGCTGTTAGATATAAGATTAGAATGGATATAGCACTCTGGTCTAGGCACATGGTACATTGTGTAGTGGCAGGTTTGGAAGGCATGTGGTTTAACTAAGACTCAGGTACCTAGAGTGGTTACCACTGGAAAACGAAGACTAGGTTTTGGTATGAATGTTTATGTTTATTTATTTATTTGTTTTTGAATGTGATCTCTTGAGTGGATGTAACATGACTGACTTTTCTTAGGGTTACTTTAGGTATCCCTGACTAGTACCTCGGAGTTTCTTCCTGAGTGGTACTGTGGATGGAAAGACTGCGTTCACATTACTTCAGTTCTGCTCATAGATGTTTCTCAGGTTTATTCTATAGACCAACGGGTGGGAAACGGTAGGAAATGGGCTGATATTTATAATAGAAAAAAAGGCTTCACAGAAAACTATACAATTATAGTCTCGCTCATACAGTACATATCCAGGAAAGAAACACGAACCACAACGCCAATACACCCAACCTATGGTTAGTTAATAGATACTGATCCTGACAGTGATGTCGATAATGCCATTGCTAATGATATAGATGAATGGTGAATCTGGCTGCCTGGCCTGCAGTGACAAGCTAGAATCTATTGTATCGTTAGTATCCCCATAGTCGATAGCAGTAAGTTGGGGATGGAAGGGAGGATGGCAAAGAACGTACCGGATTTCGTAACTTCCTGCTCGAGTCATATACCGTACCCATTTCACACTGCTATAGTTGCTCTTCTCGAAAACCTTGAGGTACCGAACCAACAGTCCGCTACTTGTGAACATGAGAAGACTGAACGAGAGACTGAGCGGCGGCCGGCTCCAAGCTTTCTGATGTGTCATGCTGGTGAGCGTTGCCTCGGCCGTGAGCACGTACTCGCTTCCACCGGAGAAACGGGCGATCTTCCAGACAATGTTGTTGTGTTCGGGTTCGTACTTGGCGCGGCCTTGACTGGTGCGCTCGGTGGTTTTGGCTGTGTTGAGCGGCGTTGGGATGCGGATGACGACGTTCGTCGCAAAGAGCTTCGAGCTATAGTTCGCCTTGATGGCGACGCTGTATTCGACCTTCGTCGTTCCCACTTCCCTCACGATGGGGTGCACCTTGAACGGGAGGTTTACGTTCTCCGTCGCGCGGTATCGCATGAGCTCAAACTCGCCGTCCGGCGGAACAAACGAGATGATCCGGTCTGCGTCGAAACGGCCCAGTTTCACGCATTGGTGGAATTGACAGTCCTCAAGTGTGACGGAGCCCGCTGCGGCGCGAGTCCCCTTCGTTGTTATGCCCCGGCTACGGGAATCTGGGCCACTGGTCGCATCGGTATCGAGGAGTAAGCGGTCGTTGAGGCCGAACTTGCACTCCGGCGTGCCGGAGAGGTAGGCGCGCATGACGATCTGGCCGTTGACGTCGGCGCGGAGCACGGTGCCAGTCGCGGACATGAGGAGGTTGACATCTTCGATCACATCTACGAAGGCCTCGTTCTTGCGGTATTTGATATCGGAGCGGCGCCAGGAGAGCGCGCCGGTGGCTTGCATGGTGATGCGGCTCGAGTCGGTGGGGTTGTTGGTGATGGCGGATTTAACTCCCTCGGTCGTGATGTACATCTTCAGGGTGTCCGTTTCCGTGTTTTGGGGGTATCCGAAATCGAGGATCTCTGGATCATATCCGTTAGCTCTCTGTCCTCACCGACGGTCTGTCTGTTCCCCTTTTCCTCGAGTCCTGGCTTCCATGTCACATCCACCCCACCAACCCGCATGCCCAGCTCCATCATAGCTCAGAAGATTAACAGTGTGATCACTTACCATCCAGCAACTCATAAACCAAAACAAAATTATTCTTGACCGCCTCCTCATCGAACTTCCCAAAATAGCTCTTCCCCAGTAGCACTAATCGATACAGAAACTCAAACACGAGCGCCGCATTGGCGTTGCTCTTCGTCACCGCCACCAGGTAGATATTCTCGTGCTTCACATGGCTGAAGGTCGTGGATCCTAGCGTGAGAATGGGCGAGCGTACTTGCGGGTTGGAGATGACCTGGATGCGAAAGATGTCGGCTAACCGGGGGCGACAGTCATTGCGGAAGGCACGGAAGATGAGATTTTCGCCTTTTTGATTAAAAATTAGGATACCGGAGAGCATTGTGAAGGAGTGGGAGGGGAGGAGGGAGGGGAGGAGGGTAAAGGGGAAGTGTGAGGGAGGTCGCGAAAAGTTCGGGGGTGGAAAGTTGGGCTTAGAGATCGGCGTCGAGTGAAAGTAAGCTTCTGGACTGAGGGACGTGGAGAATCAATTTAGCTGCGGTCCCTGTTTTAAATCTACCCCCGTCCACCAAATTATAAGAATCCCGACCACAGCTTTTTGGTCCACCGTACGTGGGGTGCACTCATTCATTTAATGATGATTATAGTTATTTTCTTCATAGTCACTATTGTTTTTTCTAACCTGTATCTGGCCATCAAAAGCCCTCTTGTTATGCACAACCGGCATATATGACATACGCCGAACAAACCGAACTATAGACACAGACAGTATACAGAATATAAACAGGAATTCCCGTCCCATAACGGACGAAGGCCAGAAGGCTTTGGAGCAAGTTCAGAGACATGGTATCAACGATCTGAAATCAAGGACGTGGATATCGTCAAATCGAAAAGAAGTAAGGGTAATTAAGAAGAACATCCCAAGTCGCTAGAATCGTGCAGCTGCAGGTTGCAGTGGAGAGCGCAATATTAAAAAAAGCATAAAAATAAAGGAATACAGCAAAAGAAGAAAAAAAAAGAGTAAAAAGGACTTCGAAGCATTAAGTCCTGAAGTATCTCACCGTTCAGCCTTAGACGACACCACTGCTCGGTCGAGTCCCGGGCAGTGATGGCCCATGCTCACTGGGAATTATGCCAACCTTAGGATCAGGAATCTGGATGTCCAACGACATGTAACCCGTCCGTCGAAGACTCCAGATATATACCCCGTCCTTTGCGCCGACCTCATGGTTCCAATTCTCCACCCAGTCTTCTATCTGCTTGAGCTGGTTTTTGACTCCCGTGACCCCTATATCCTCCCAGATCCAGCCGGTCAGCAGCGCCAGCGCCCCATCTATCCAGTTCCGAAGGCTGAATGGATCGAATGCTTTTACGAGCTTGTCGTTGACCGTAGCAATAATCCTGCGGAATTCCTGCTCAGGCAGTAACGGATCGAGGATCTCCGGATACAAGTTGGAAAAGGTCGGGGCCAGGTCTCCCCTAACCATCCAATCTCGACGAATCCGAATGATGCGTGTCGTATGGTACTCCCGAGACCTCACTGATACGTGCGGGTTGATATGAGGGTAACACGGATGGGCTGGTCCCCAAGCCAACTCCTCCGCCACGTCAGCTTCGCCACCGGGATGTTGCCCCGTATGCGACGGTATCGAAGCGATCTGTGCCTGCGACCGCAGGGAAGTCTGTGATTGTATATGTCGGGGGCGGTCGTCGAGGGGATTGGATCGGTCGACCACGGGTTCTAGGGTCAGGTGTGCCCGGTCGGGTGGACGAATACTTTGTGCCTCCGGACTCCCATGATTTCCCGCCGATTCTGGCATTTCCTGTAACGGCCAATCTTCGTTGAAGGTACCACTGCGCCTTTGCGCTCGAGGCACTGCGATGCTGGAGCGCCCACTTTCGGTCTCCCCCTGGCTGCGCTCCACCACAAGACTATTCGGGGATGGGGTGAGTCGGCTGCGACGTTGCTCGGGAATCGACAGGAGAGGGTATGCGTCTCGGTGCGCCTCAAGACAGAGATTCTCTTCCGAGCCCTGGAAGGGATGGGGGACCGTGACCGGTGTAATTCGCGGGACGTAGTTGACAGGGTTCGCGAGGCGAACCGAGGGCGGCCGTAAGATGGCGGAGGGAGTCCAGAAACCCTTGTGTCGCGGTATGGATCGGGAGGAGCTCGTTGGCTTGGAGTGATAGGCCGATGACGATGCAGGCTGGTGGGACTCCCACGAACGGCGCGGGCTTCGACGGCGCGGGGGCAGGGAAGACTTTTCAGCCTCGGGCGGGGATATAAGAGGAGGATCCCGGGGGGCCGCAAAAGACGCCGTTTCCGACACGGGCGACGAGTCGAGAATATATGAGAGACGAGAAGGAGGAGGAGGAGGAGACACGGTGACAGGAAGGGCCGTCGTGGTGAAGATTGCTGAGAGAAGAAAAGCAACACCGAATGGATGAGCGACGCAGGCGGGACGCTGATTGGCGGGTGAGAGGCAGAAAGGGGCAAGGCAAGGGTCACGATTCGGTCAAAGCGCGACATTAGTCGCTGAGAATTGGGGAGGGAAGAAAAAAAGGTATTTCTTGCCTTCAGGATATATGCACGAAGAGTCTGGCAAACTTGAAGAATCTCAGAGATGAGGGTGAAAATGGCAAGTGAAATCGGAAGTTCAAATCATCTATTCAATTCGTGAAATCACACTTCAATAGTTCTTCTCGTCGGATCTTCCGGGTGGATCTATAGCTCGTCGTTAAGTATGGATGTCCGATTGGGATCCAAAAACAAGTCGAGGACAACATGAACAGGACAAAAGCAAACAGAAGTCCATGGACGAGAAGTAAACCGGAAGGCAGATGCGATGGGATCTCAATCTTCTAATCTAACGAAATAAATAAACAACCCTCCTCATCATCCCGGAAACATAACCCCCCTGACGAAACAATAAATGGATCAATAGCCCAACCGGAAAGTAAGGCTTTCAAGCCTTTGCGTCACTCTCGAATCCTTTCCCTTAGGGCATTTCTATCACGGGAGGAGACCAGGCAGCGGGAATTCATAACACCAACTAAGAGTAAACAAAAAAGAAGAAAGCCCCCCACTGAACAAAAGGAAGAAGGAAAAAAAAAAAAAGGAAACAAAAAAAAAGAGGAAATTTGAGACAGTTAACTGACCTGCATCATATGTCATATATCACATAGATTAATGACATTATGTGTAACACTCCGACCATGATTAAGACGCCTCTTATGCAGTCATTTCTAGGATAGACACATCTGAAAGCTCCCGTAGGGCAGCATTCCCGTACCCTACATTAATCAACCTGAAGCAATTACAACGTTGCGTTCTTTGTCCAGCTGGGAAGCTTGGACAACCCCCCAAGACCGAGACCCCTGGCGTAGTTTGCTGCTAATTATAATGGTGGAACTTAAACCGTCTCCTTGGCCGCTCCTTCATTAGTCGCCGTTTAGCCCATGGTTAGGGCACCAACTTTCGATAGTACCACTTAGTGAGAGAGACCTTCTCTGCTTCAGTCGAATAGATGCAACTACACCGAGATAAATGTAACTATATATACTGGAGCAAACGGTCTAGTTCTCAAGATTACTAAGTATTAATCCATTGTAAGGTAAGTACTGTGGTTTTAGTCACTCATGGACCCATCTATATAACACTCATTAAGATTCGTTTTGAACACCGTCCCGCGGAACTCCGAAACGCGTACAGACATGATAAATTCATCAAAAACGACGTGAAACCCTCACCGCTGCAAGCCCAACCGAAGTCCAGACGAGTCACTTGCCATTTACATTTCGATTGGCCATGGCTTGCATCCGTCGCAAGGCTTCTCGATGCAAGTCTGTCATGTCTCCTCGCTGCATACCTTCCGCAATCGCATTCTCAAACTTGACTGACGAGGCTCGTCCCCGCAGCTTCTTGGAAGATGTTGGATTCCGTTCACCTGTCCCTTGGCTGGTCATTGGAGGCGTCTGGGCTGCCAGTCTTCGCCTGTCATATACATTTTCTCGTACGGATTCCCGCCATGCCGCCAATGAACTTGGGGTGTTGAGTGGGGTTGGTGTACTCCTTCTCACGGAAGTTTGACCTACACCAGACTGCACAGCCATCTGCTGATGCAACATTGTTCGACGCCGGGAGAGAGGCATGTCGTCTGCTTCTTCGGGGATGGGGAACGTTGATTGTCGGGGCGAAACCTCGGATCCCTGGACGAACCTCGATGCCCAGGGGTCGGCGCTGAACGAGAAAGACGACAATCTATTTCGCATCATGCCCTCGCGCACTGCGATGAGAGGGGGCGGCCCTTTCCACTGAGGTCTGGCAACCTCGGCCTCTTCACAGGGCTGTTCCCCTGAGTCGACCGTAGGAGACACCGCGTCGTAGGTATTGGCAGCATCCGTAACTCCTTGAACTGGTTGGCCTTGGGTTCCTGGGTGTGCAGAATGGTCAATTTTAGTTTCTGGGAAGACAGCTGGCCCAGAAAATGCTCTCTTATGCGCTCGAGCGCTGGACTGCAACTGAGAGCCGTTGGCCATTTGGCTAATTTCCTTTGTAATCGGCGGCTCGGCGATAGAGACACGCCTCTCGACAGCAGGTGGCGGCTGCGCATTTAAAGGTGTTTGCAGCAGTTCTTCTACTTTGACAGGCGCAGCGGCTTCTTTAACTTCATCAGGGGTTTCTGGTTCCTCCTCTTCGACTGACTCGATCGGTTCAGGCTCGGGAGCTTCCGCATCGTCCAGATGCTTAGCCCACTCGTTCGTCCTATAGGATTGTACTACCTTTGATGTTCGTTGTGGTAGTCGTTTCACAGTTTCTATATCCAGTCGAGGGGGTGCTTCTTTCTTAAGCTTAGTCTTGGTTTCGGATCCTGACTTCGAAGATCTCTGCTTGACAGGGGCAGACTCATTGGTTTTTGGGGGCGTTTCTTTGGATGAAGACTCCTTTGATTGACTGACTCCCACTGGCTTCTCATCTTGATCTTTTGGGGCCGAGCCATTCACACTGGACCCAACAGCTCGTGGCTTGTCATCATTTTGATCTGCTGGCCCTGTTGTTTCGGCATTTATCTCAATTTCTTGAGGTATTTCTGTGGGCTGCTTGTCAACCTTTGGCTCGGGCATGTCCTTCGCCTGGGTTGATGATGATGATGATGATGATGTTGGTGGTGGTGGTTGGCGCTCGCTAGCTTCTTCCTTTGTTGGGCTATTCTCTTTCTTCTCCTGTTTGCTCCCCTCTTGTTCCAATTCACCGAACTTTTGCTCGTCTATCCCTCGCGAATACACGCTGGGCTCCCCGACGCTTTTTTCAACATCCTTCTCCAACCCGGATGTCTCTTTACTATCAGCTTCCTGCTCGACGGAGGGAATTGGGGCATCTTCTGGATTAGATGCAGGTCTATCTTCTTCTTCCATATGATTTCCCGCCACATTGCTGTGACTCTCCGAGGCGGAATTAGAGTTTCCGTCTAGGGTGTCTTGCGTGGATGAGCCATCGCAGGAGACCAGCGCTTCTTGTGATTGAGATATAAGCCGTGCGCTATTTTTCGCAGATACCTTGTCCAACAGGTCTCTACCAGAAAGCCGCTTGGATCTTATTGTTCCGGCTTCGGACCCAACGATAGCTGTCATATCAGAACTATTGTCGTCTTTGATCTTGGCTGCAGCTGCCCCATCGAACACTTTGAGCGGGACGTTTTCTCCGTCGGGAGACGATTGGTCTTGGTCTTCTGTGTCGACTCCCACCGTGGTATCTTCTAGTTGTCGACTCTGAGAGTCCTCAGTGTCCCCACTTGATTGCGAAGCAGCATAGGCAGATTCACCATTCGCTCGCCTCTCTAAGCAATCAGAGCAACGATAGGACTCCTGTGAAGAGCTTGCAACACTTGACGTGTCAATTGCACCACCTTTCTCCACATCGACTGCATGGTCTGCAGTACATCCGTTCTTTGAATTATCTGCAAGCTCTGGAATGCCGGAGTCGGGATTGCCATGTCTGGCCTCCCACTCTAGCCGCTCTTCCATGTTCTTCTCTTCGAACCTCCGCCCTATCTCGAGCTCGGCCTCCTCCTTTTCCTTCTGCTCTTTTTCGCGAACCTCATTCTCTTTCTGCCTTCTTTCCCGGATTACTTTCCATAACCTGAGTTGTGAGATCACACCTAGGACGGCAATAATGACCGTGGCGGCAAGCTCAACTTTGATATTACGAGTCACAGGGTAGGTGCTTGTACCCAAAGGGAAGATGTCGTCGTTCAGAGCTATATATCGGTCAGAGGAACAATCCCGGGACTCCTAGGAGTCAAAGATAATACATACCCCAAATGTAAAGCCAGAACTCCTTCCAACCGGCACGACTGAAGCAGTCAATCCCTAATGCAACAGCAGTACCTCCAGAAATACCAGTCGACGCCATTAGTCCATAGGGTCGAGTGTAGTGGCTGAATGACAGAGCATAGAATGTGACTGAGATAGCGCCGATGAACCCGCTTTTGGAATCCGTTTGTGTGAGAAGGCCGCCTGGCTTAAGGGAGAGAAGCCACATGCTGCTGCAGAATCCGCCTAAAAGACAGCCAAGCCCCTCTGTTAATTCCTTAAATACAAGCGAAAGTGCTCCGAAAGTCACTGCTGTGAAGAAAATAGCGACGAGGTAGGCGCCCTGAACCGCGACACGGACTGGGGGATTCATGACGTAGACGATTAGAACCTACAAGAACGAGGTTGATTAGAATGAAGGCACACTTAGAGACAGACAGCGAAGCTCACAGTTACACCAATAGCCGCTAAGAAAGCGGTTGATAGGAAGACTTGGATCCTGGGTCTGGTAAGCTATATCTACCATTTATTATCAAGACACCATGTCTTACCATAGATTCCGTATTCCTATAATTGCAAGGACTGCACCGGCGACGATGAGAAGGAAACCACCGACCCCCAACGCAGGTGTTATCGTAGGTTGCAAGGGGAGAGCGCCAGGTGCGATCGGGTTCGTATCATCTGTATGACCTCAGTATTGAGAGGAAGCAAGTATAGATTGGAGCTTTCCACTCACTGCCAGTTGGGGCTGGCGTAGCCAAAGTCGCTGTAGCCGTAGTGGCTGAGGTGGTTGTATTGGAGGCCGAGGTGGAATTGGCTGTAGCTGTCGCATGGCCAGTTGCGCTCGCGGTCGTTCCAGTGGTTGCATCTGCTGTTGCTGTAGTTGCTTGATCTGTTGCCCTAGCTTCTATAATGGCGATGCTCCTATGCTGGTTGCCCTCACTATGAGGTATCTGCGCCGCAAACACGAATAGACACGGCACAAGATACGCGAGAAGCGCAAGCAAAGGAAGCAGCCGCATCTTGCGGAGGAAGATTCGTGTATTCAGGGTCTCAGAGCAACATTAACAGAGTCAAGAGTAACCTGATCTGAAAACCAGTACAGGGTCTCAAAAGTCTGCAGAAAGTCCCGTTGCAGTTTCTACCCACACATTATTTCATGTACATCGGATGGTCAAGTATGAGCAGCGAATTTTAACTATAAGAGAGGAATAGAAACACGCAATAGAGAACAGGGAACGTGGGTAGAGTAGTAGAAGAAGAACAGGCAAGTCTACTGGGCCCTTAGTCGCTACGTCTCCACTATGTATATTCTATCGTATGCATGTAGAATGGATGCATGAAAACCGAAAAGGAGCTCTCATACTTAGATCCTGGTACCCGGGAACTCCGTAGCCCGTAGGTAGCGTTGTTAGCTCGCCGCCCAAGAAGAGGTCAAAGCAAGCCATATTACCAAATGGACTAAACGGATGAACGGCGCAAGACGACCCACTCAGCAAAAGCAAAAGATAGCAATTACATGCGTGGAAAATTGAGTTATCTAGTAGGGATCGGCAACTTAGTACACGATGGCGACGACAGCTGAACGACTATATCGTATCAGGGATTAGCTCGCAGGCCGTGGGCACCACTCAAGGAACCAAATTAAACAGACTTCAGGGAGATCCACGATGGCGTCCGATAGACCGAACTAAGTCTGTAAGGAGAATTATCGCGTCGAAAGGCTGAATGTTGATCGGAATATTGATCAGTGCTCTTTGAGATTAACAATAGCATGGTGTCGGGATGCGTTGAACATCTCACGCACAGGGTAAGCGAATTTGCAATCAGACGGAATCGCAGTCTGACGTGGCACGATCACACTGAGCTGATAATCATGATCCAGTGAAAATGATATAGGATTGAGTAAGAGAGCAGCGTGCTCTAGTGAAGGTCTCGCCAGCTATGGCCTCTAGTCGTGCTGACTAGTTCGTGTTCGTTAAGCGTTGACTAAGCTGTTTAAACCCTCCAAGTTTCGGGGCCGTCATTGCGCTAGCAGCACTAGCAACCCTCAGAATGAGTTTAGGGCGTGTGATCGGCTGCATGAGGCGACAGGTCTAATTTCTCCCGCGAACGTCTCTTCGGCCTATCATCCTCTACAATCAAAACACAGTGGCCTTGATCACAAGGCACCGCTCGCTCAGTGGAGGACGGAAGCCACACTAATTTCCGAACTAGATTCCTTCTCCAGGAACCATGCTCGTCTTCGGGACAGAGATCTGGTTATACACAACTTACTTTAGGGAGATGCATACTTAGTCAGGAGTAAGACCCAAGGATATGTGGTCGCATAGTTAACCGAACACCGGTTCCCGCAGCATGTACTCGTTTCTGTCAACCCACTCCATCAAGTCGGAAATTTATTTCAGAACTTGCTAGTCGCAATCCCCAAAGCATCTTTTCAATAATGGAATGCACGGTCGCGATGCGGTGAACATATCACGGCAAGAGGAAAAATGACCTGGAGACTACCATTCCAAGGTTTGAGTTAAAAAATGGCGAGCTTACTGTCACGGTTAGTGCCCGAAATTGATATCTCACACGTCATAATTGCATGAACGCCAATGAATCCTTGACCGCACAGTTAGCGATACGATCAGTAGCATCTTTTCTGTAGCGAAAAGTTTATTATGATTGATATATGCATGCATGTCCCGAGAGTCATGGCGAAAATGGCAACTGTCAGCGGGCATCCCAGAGGCGAATGGGAGGCAGAGGTGGATTTCGGTCACCAATCTCTGTATTACAGAGTGTCATGGTATCACTTTCCTCTAGTTCTTCTTTCAAGTAGAAGATTACCATAACTCTGGTGGGGAGGAACGAAGAGGCATCCCATGAGCAAGAACGAGAAGGTACCCTTGAACATAGTATGAAGACTAGAGCAGGTGGAAGTAGATCAGTAAACCGATGGTGGATGGATGGTGGATGGGAGCTGAAGGGTTCACCCAATGACCGCCCATAGTCATCACGTGAGACCCACACCGCATTCCAAATCGCGCGGGCAAAGTAACGTAATGACAGTTTAACCTCTTGGAGAAGCTGTGACATTTGACTTCATTTTTTTTTTAAACAAAATCTTGATTCTCACCGACCCTTATCCCTAATACTTGCTCGAAGGCAAAGATTCCGAACACCAGCCATACCATGTCTGCCTTCGCCTCATCCCTGCGCCCATTGATGCGCACCGCCACTGGCGGAGCTCTCTCCGCGCGTTCCTTCAGCTCCTCCTCATCGCGTTCGGTAGCTCGTATGATCATCACCGGCCGTCTGGCAGCCGCGCCGGAGCTGCAGGCCACCTCATCCGGTCAGGATGTCATCAGATACACCGTTGCTACCTCGACCGGGGCCCGCGACAACCGACAGACAAGCTGGTTTAAGGTCGCAAGCTTCGACCAGGGTGCTCAGCGCGATTACGTGCTGAGTCTGCAGAAGGGGTAAGTATCGACCCCTATCTCCATGACCTGCATGTCTATTTATATTTGAGTGCTGTGAAATGTTTGATTGCAATGCATGTATAGGAAAAGTGTTAAGGTGTAGTGCTAACTTTGATTTTTCTTATTCGCCAGAACCCTTGTTTACCTCGAGGGAAGCGCCAGCCTGCGGGACTGGGAGGACGCCGAGGGCAAGAAGCAGACCACTCTGAACATTGTTCAACGTGAGATCCCCGTCCAAGACGAACTCAATCTGTCGGACTATGCTAACTTCCGCGTTACGCATCACTATTCAGGGAACATCGAGGTCCTCAAACGCCCGACCAACCCTAACGAAAATGAGTCTGCCTAAGCTCTGTCGGCCGAGGATAAGCCTGCACAAGGAGAACGACATAATAACTTGATGGGCGGATATTCAAAGGCTTCCCGTGGTCCCTTGTAGGTTTTCTTGGTGAAAGTGAATCGGCCATTATGTGTTCTAATTGTATTTTGGATCATACGGCTTCTGTATTGTAGTTATTATACAAGTATACCCTTGAATACTAGCGCTCTTTTAGCATACGGCTTCGTGGCTCTCATGGGACAAGCTTAAAATGGATCTGACGGGTCAGATGCGTTGGACGACCTGCTTATCTATAATGGTCTGATCTAGTCATACTCTATGTTACTTGTAGCATATCACATACCGGATCAGTTAATAACTAGTAAAACCTTCTGGTTATATCTTGGATGGTGATGCCCGATAAAGGTGATTAGATCTAGCATGCCAAGATATCTGTGATTATTGGAGAACAGAAGCAATAGACTCATCGCAGACCTAACAAGCGGCTTCTCCATTGGAAGTCATATGTTAAGGACTTGATGCAACATCAGCCACACATCTGAAGAAGAAAAAAGAAGGCAAATAAAATAGTATTTGCAGCACTCTCAACGGACGAAGCCGAAATGAAAAGTAAAAGACCCTTTAAATCCCGGGGCGGAGGCACTTCACCTGGTTTGGTCAGTTAGGTAAACGACCTGTCCCAGGGGTATTGCACGACCTCATGCTCGCAATTCGCTATCCTGGCTGATGTCGCGTTTAACTCGGATAAATGCCTCTCTTCCAGGCATATAAGTAAGATCACTACTGCCCCGGCTTTGGCTGGAGCCCGCCCATGCATTAGCGGAAACTGTATTTGACGGAGCAGAGAGGTTCGGCTGGGATAAGATTCTCTCGCCACTAGAAGTAGACGAGCGGTGAAGTGGACGGTGCAAAAGAGACCAAGGATGCTTAAGCCAAGACATGCTCTGTCCTTGCTGGGGTTTCGGCCAAGAGACTCTGCCCTTCTCAATGTCATCAAAGGTCCTGTCGATACTATTCGCAGTAGCAGGGTTCTCTGCACGAGTTCTACGGCCGCAGTTAGTACATGACTCGTTAGATCTGGTGCAGCTGATCCTTACCCTGCCATCGAAGTCCATGATTTATGAAAAAGTAGCCCTAATCGGCTGTTCGAGAAACCCGAAGTATCCGAGCTGGATGCATCTGGTGAAGAGTCGTGGGCTCCGACGAAGCAGTGATCCAGGCGCAACAAGCGGAGGTATGAGCCATACATCCTAGAAGCGTCTCTGCCGCACCCGAAGAGGATGAACAACATGAATCCAGAGGCCACTGGAAACCAGCGATCGAAAAAGGCTTCACCACCTGAAGGTATCTTCTGGATTTTATTCCAATGTGGTCCGTGTGCCACACTCCATGAGTAAGAGTGCCACGGTAGTGAAAGTTCGATGTTCTTGTAGACAACGTATGTTTGGACCGGCAGGATAGCCAGGAGCACAATGAAGGAAAGGATGAATAGCCGCATGAATCTAGATTTGTTCAAGTTACTGTTTGATGCTTGTAGGATGTCACCAAATTGGTTCCGGTATCTCTGAAGACGATAAACCACAAGGCCTGGTAGGGTGTTAGCTGCTTGGACCAAGGCGACCACGGACAGGCGTTAACGCACTGCAATAATAGCCAGCCATAAGGCAGATTAATAGAGGCCAGATCCATGCCAGTATGAGGCTCACCCAACTTTCATCAAAGCTATTAACGCAGCCCGAGATGCCAACCAGAATGTATCGGTTCGCCTGGTAGACTATATGTGTAGCCATTGCCACAACGGGCACGATCACACAAAATAGCATATCTATGCCGAAATTCCACCACCGTTGCTGCTTGCTCGGGACAAGCATTGCACGTCTAGTATCAATCATGCTGGCTAGAGTGCGGAAGATGCAGACCAAATTTCCAGGCACCGCAACATAGCTGGCAATCATCACCTTGACTTCCACATCACAAAGGCCGGCGCCACTCCACCAACTATCCATGTCATCATTCGGCCATATAAATGCGTTGATAACATTGAACAAGTTGAGACACAGGAGCCAGCATATGAGGGAAACGACCGGAAAATTCTTATTTTTCCAATGCAAGATCAAGGGAGGGATGGTCAGCAGCATGCATAGGATAGAAAGCGATGGAATGATCACGGCCTGGGCGTAGGGAGCAGTGCTTGATGCCGCCATGTTCTTGATACAAGTACAATCGTGTGATGCGAAGAAAACAAACTGTTGATATCGAGTGATGGACGTCTCCGTTGGCCAGGCAGTAGGTATACTTGACTTCCAGAGCCACTGGACTAACTAAGAAAGATAAGAGCTCCGCACGAGGAAAATGGGAGCATCGTGTGGAAAGAAGTATGGGCACTGAAGGAGAAACACGACGATTAAGAGACCTTTAGAGACAGATGTCTTATTGAGACGAAGCGCAGGAAGTAAGAACAGGGTGTTCCACGCAGACGCAGCTGAAACATGGACTTCCACTATACGTCCTGGTTATATAGAATGGTTCGCATTTGAAATAGAGTGGACAGAACGACGATCCAGGCCCTCGGGGCCGTTTATTCGGGTTACTGCAGTCGACCCAGTTACATCCTGTACAGGAAAGTTGTATAGTTCCTGCAGAATAAACTTGGCTTCGCAGATCTGCGGCCGGAAACTAGAGCGGCCCGTCGTATAACAGTTATATTATTAACTTAGTGCCTTGAGAAAAGTCAATGATGAAAAGATACGAGGGAGTAGATTGTGAAGCGATTGGCCATTGACTAGATGGTAGCAATAGGGCTTGCTCAGTGAGTACATACCGAGTGACATCATCCGCCTGCCGACCTTTCCCATTCGGGGGATCAATAGAGGACAATCAATCACCGTCAATAAGCCGTCAAGCTGGATATTTAAGACAACGGGGTATTTCTAAATATATGGACAAGTACCGAGATTGAAAACTCGTCCGATTGACTCACGGGTCAATTGGCATGGTGAGACCGTCCGCCCCATAGCCTGCAGGTATCCTATCACACCAGCAACCCAGCAGGGAACACTGTCAAATTGGAACACGCCTTGACGCATCATGGGGCCATGTAGGGGCAGTGACTAAGAACATCGTTAATGTGTTATCCTTGAAGGCGAAAGGGGGGCCGGGTACCTTTGTATGTATGATGGAGAACTGTTGTTGCCTATCGAAATGGGGTGAGTCTCTTTGGCCCGATCCTCCCACTTTTGAGATGTCTGAGTGGTTTGGCCCCGAAGAAATAGTCAAAGCGAATGGAAAGACAAACCCTCTACCCAGTGGCACTTGAAAGTTCAAAACTGATCGGGACTTCCGGAGTGGGTGGTACTTAAGTTACTAACACAGCCGGCAGCAGGGAATCAATAAGGACATATCAAAGGTGATTTGTAAGAATCATTGACGTTGTACGTATATCCTTGTATATTACACACTGCTTAGACTGTGGCTCCGTATTCATACAGAAGCAAACATGGAGCTTCTTGCGTAAATTGTAAAGCGTCTTCCGGTATTATTACTAGTACTATGATCAATCAGCTCGCCGAAAATCGTTCAAGAAAACCAGTATTTGGGATTTATATTACCCTATGCACATGGTAGTAGGATATTTAAATCGCTGGCTTCATCGAGAGAAAATCGCCGCAATACATAACAAGGCGATACACAACCATACACACCGTAAGGGCCACGATGTTTAGATCAGGGCCCTTGTCAATGTTATGCAGCATCAGCACACTCTTATGCATTGTCCGCTTGGCTGCCAGCATCACGTACGGACTCGGAGCTACACTAGCCATGCAATACTTCGAGGGTTAAACTATAATGCTTTGGAGAAGACCGATTCTTGTTTATACTGAGCTACGTCGCCCGAGAGGGAGTGTATGAATATAAGAAGGAAAGTAACTAGTCATCCAAGAAGGCCTGGACGAAGCGTAACAACAGAAAGATGGGCTCTCAATGGAACCAAGGGCTGATTGGTGCAATGCTAAAGGAAAAATGGGCTTCAAAGGAGTTGGTATGCTTTTTAGGTGCTCTCCGCTCTAATGAGGTTGTTTAAAGTAGAAACACCTCTGGTATAGTTGTAAATTGAGTGTTGGTGTTACTGCCAATTAGCTTCTGGACGACTTGTGATAGTATCGTCGACCCACCGTCAATAACTGGGACTTAGGATTACTGTACCCCGCCTGGCTAGGCATCGGTTGTATTTGATCAATGGAATATTAATCTCTGGATGTATGCTGCTGCATCTGGAGGTTCGATCTGGTATCTGCCATTACAATCGAGCTACCGCTTGACTGGTAACCTGAAGCTATGGCAGCTCCCATTAGATGGGGTTAAAGTAGTTAAATCCACATAGAAGGTTCTGTCTTTTCTATTGTCTGCTCAGACGTACGTGTCAATTATGGACTAAAGGTTTTCAGGCATCTGTTCCCCTGAGCTTTCTACTGTAGTAATTGCTTGCGGTCTACTAACAAATATTCCTTATACCAGAACGTATGCATCAGCCCATACGCCCCAGACATCGGCCAACAACTCCATACCCAATCTCCCAGCCTCGATGTCCAAGAACGCTTCTTGACGACCTCTTCTGGCTGTATCTGGACTTTTTGATACAGATTCGGCAAGTACGTCGTATAATACCTCTGTCGTAAGCCATCCATTGTATCACGGTCATAGATTGACCAAAATTCCTCCTCTGTATAGTAGGTCCGTGCATAGAGCCACTTTTGACCCCCAAGGATGTTGACGACTTTCTCGAGCTTGCGATTAAAGTCAACAAAGTTCTTCTTACCCTTCGGTCCTGGACCCCATACTCCAATGCTGAGCATCATATCACGGTGATCCGGGTCAGGATGGTTTCGCCGTTGCGCCATCAGTCCCGAGACATGTGTCGTTGCAGTACGGACAGGACAAAGCCATAATGGGTACCTCCCAAACGAGTCATCAAGAAAATCAATCAGTTCTTTGGCACCATTATATGGCACAGCAACATCCTGGATAGTGTACTCCTTGAAAAGCCCGCTCTTGTGGACGGCGTGATACATGACCCTTGTATGGGAGATACCGTCCAGCACCCATCGCATGAACTTTGTCTGGGGAAGTAGAAAATATTCAAAGGCGTACTTCCCCACCCAGAAGCCTCCCCGATCGTAGCGGAATAAGTAATCGGGCAATGGGATCAGCTCCTTGGATGTGGTCCCCTTCTCCAGGTTTGATGGCGAGGAAACCATGTCTTCAGCATGCATATAGAACCACGGATCAGTGGGACGAGTAAAGGTTTGAACCTGATCTTCCTCTGCCAGACTGGTGATTGACCCGGCACAGACACATCCCTTAGTCTTGGTGAACATAATCCCATCCAGATACTGGTACGTGGGGTTAGGTGTGAGCTCTTCAATTTTTCTGATGGCCTCGTCAACACCTGAGATAGGGAAATAGGTTAATTTCACTACTGGGTTTGTCGGAAGTTCTATGAGTTGCAGCTCCAGTAGAGTCGTGATTCCAAGGGTCCCAAAGGAACATGCAGCACCGAAGAACAAATTGGAGTTTTGGGTTGGGGATGCATGCAGGATCTCGCCGTTCCCAATCACAATCTCAATCCAAGAAATTGTTCGATCAAAGAAACCATGCCGATAAGAGCTACTTTCTCCGGATGTGCCTGTGAATCCGCCACCTACTGTTATCCCGGGATACTCCATCACCACCGGCGGAATGAACCCATGGGGGAGGATTGCGCTGACAAGCATGTCCATAGGAACATTAGGTTCGACTAGTGCCACCTTGCGTATCCGGTCAACACTGAGCACACGATTGAGGCTGCTTGTATTGATGGTATTGGATGTGGACTTTCTTGAAGGACGTGTCGAGTTCGTGGAGCCGTGATAGATATGAAAAGGCTTCTTGTCATAATGGAACTGCTTCACTCGCGCAGATATCTGCCGGACGATAGCATTATGCAAGTCCATTGTGGGTCAATACCATAGCAGAAAGGCCTCTCAATAATTTTCAATGGAGATCGTTTGAAAGCACCGTGAGTTGAGGATGCTGTGTGATGACAAAGGGACAATGGTGGATGTATTGAGAGGCTTGGAGGCAGACCTGATATTTGGGGACATATTGATACAGATATATGCATGCTACCTTTCCTTGATTCACGCAAGGAGAGATCTAATTATTCACTATTAGACCCATGAAAGGTTACTGTCTAATTCATCTCCCAGTGGCCGAGCCGGGAATTAATGGTGCGATTCACTAAGGTACTGTACCTGCGCGGAGATGGTGTACCCGCCAGCGCATCATACACGCTCAGCCATGACCAAGGAAAGCAGAGCCGTATCTAGAGATAAATCCAGCAAGCGAGAACGAATTACATGCTTAGCACACAGGGGTTTATAACTCGGCGAGGAAGATGATGGAACTATGTTGAATTAGTTACAGACACCTTTGTTGAATTTAAGTCACTTTCTCAATTATTCATGAAACTAAAACTAATCACTCACGTGGATGAGACCATTAACTCTAAACTGAGATAGAATGGGATAAACAAATCACAGAAAAGTACAGGCATACCAAATACGGTATTCACTGTCCAACTGAGAGCTATCACTTAATATATCCTCCTTCTGTGCTCCATAAGATGCCATTCACGAGGTCCATACTTGTTGGGCTTGATTGGCAAGGCGTGACTTCTGGTCATGCAGTAGTCGTTGCTGCGGTGAAGAACAGCGGCATGGCCAGTGAACAAGGGTATGTGAAGCTGAGAAGCAAAATCTTGCTCAGACATCAAGTAAAACCAGATTTGATGAGAGGGGCTCTGTATGTTCTTGAAGGAGACAGCGGGAAGAGCAACTTCACTGTTCTCGTTGTCCTGCGGTTTCATATTCGTCTTTCTCTCTTTTAACTCAGTCAAATCTTCTCATTATTTATGCTTCGGGAAGGACCAACATAAATCTCCGTCCCTATTGTATGCTTGGCTCAATATGAGGTCGTCGTCGCGCAGACAGAATCATGCGCTGCGTGTCATCATAATTGGCTGCTCTGTGGCTGGTCTCACTCTAGCCCACGCTCTAGCCAAGCGGCAAATTGACTATACCATCCTTGAGGCTCACGATTGCCTACCACTGCCGTTCACAGGAAATGCTTTCACCTTGCTTCCCAATGGATCACGGATACTAGCGCAACTCGGGGTGTGGGAAGAAATCGCGGCAGCATCAGATACGATCCACAGTCATTCAACTTTCCTTGAGGATGGAAGGTTGTTAGGGAGAATAGATGTAGAAAGACTCCTTTCCATGAGGTATGCCTTCCTTATGCGATTTGTGATTGGGTAGGTCTAAGGCCTGACTAGGCATGGTTATAACCTAGCGGTTATCCCACGATGGAGATTTTTGCAGATTCTCTATAATAGCCTAAAAGATAAACATCGCGTGCTTTTCGGTAAGCGCGTCATAGCTTTGAATCAGAGCTCTTCGCAGGCCAAAGTGGAATGCGCCGATGGCTCCATACTTACTGGAGACCTGGTTGTTGGCGCCGATGGAATCCACAGTGTCTCACGTGGCGAGATCCTGAGGTGGAATAGGTCCTTACAGGCATCACCAAATCCAAGAAAGATACCTGAAGGTGAGTAGTATTACCATATCTATCCCACCTCAATGTTAGCTGCTGATCAGAGTTTTAGGTTTGACCTCAAAATTTTCCGGCATATATGGCATCTCGCATCCTATTCCGGGGCTATCCCCAGGCCACGCGCATCGCACGTACGGAAACGGATTCTCCTTCATAGTCAACATTGGAAAAGAGAACATCTTCTGGTTACTATCGTTCCATGCCGGGAAGGTGCACCGTTGCCCTGATATACCGCGCTATTCGCAAGACCGGGCATCAATTGACCAGCAGGTCTCCCCGTTTTTAGGTGCGCATGTCTCTTCAGATGTTCGATTTGAAGAACTGTACAGTAATGCAATCACATGTTGTCACGTCGCCCTTGAGGAGTTGCTCTGTGAGCAATGGGCTGCAGAGAAGCTTGTGTGTATTGGGGACTCTGTTCACAAGGTCTGGCTCATTTTCTTTCGCTATATCTCCCAGCTACTCGAGTATGTTATTTACAATGAACTCTGGCAGATGACACCAAACCTGGCTCAAGGGGCAAATTGCGCTATTGAAAGCTCTGCCTCGCTAGCCAATTGTATCGTCCGCACTGTTGACCAAGACAAATCCTGTACATGCCCAGATAACCCTGAGGAGGATATGGGCCTAGAGGCATGGGAAGAGTCCCGAAAGCAGAAGATGAGACGCTTTTACACGTATTCATGGATTCTGGTTCGCTGTGAAGCTCTTTCTGGGCCCTGGTTCAAGGCTCTCGGCCTCTACATCGGGTCCTTCCATGGAGAGCAGGTAATCAGTTACATATCCGACATTAGTCCCGAGTCGGAGTACCTGGACTACTTACCGCAATCAGATTATCACTTGAAGTCGCGATCGAAGATGCGCCAGGGTAGGCTGAATCAATTGAACCATCTCTCCGTTAAGTTGGCATTTTGGTTCTTAGATGCTTTGATAACGATGTGGAGCTTTTGTTTCGCTTAGAGCACATACTTGCATTGAGATTCCTCGCGACTGTAGCATATAGTTAATACAAGGGATTTAGTGAGTCGGGCCTTAAGTGCCCTGACTGAAGCGGCTGCATGTAGATCAGACAAGTTGAGGTTAGTTATTAGAGGAAATCCGGGTATGTGTAAGAGTATCCGTACAGTATACACATACATGCAGGATCGTCATTCAGCTGAAGGTATCTCTTGGCACATGGCGTCATATTCGATACAATACAGTTTCCCTCCGCAATTGAATTCGGGGGTGAGATTAATGATTGGGGCTGTAGTCACGAACTACTCCACTTGACCCCGTCTTGGCTTTCCCGAAAAAGGGTAAGAAGGGATCTGCAAGTGATGCGATGAGGTACCGTACTGTACTCCGTATGGATGTACGTACGTGACCTACACATGATTTAATCATGGCTGAACCTGAGGATCCTTTCATGACCTGAGGCACACTCCTCTCCCTACCCTTCTTTTTCTCAAATTCCATCCTGGCTGCAACTTTCCTCTTATACCCAGGATCTCGACCACAGCAGATCGGAATATGGTCCACCAATTGTCTAGCCGACCCTCCTCCTCCTGGTTCCTTTTCAGTCATGCGACCATCAGCCTCTCCCTTCCAGAACAATCAGACTAGCAATCCCCGCGCCCATTCCCCCGGTTCCATGAGTCTTCGCCAGCGAGGCCCGGCCCGCTCTGCCACCTTCGCAGAGGGCTGTTCATCAAATCTAAAAAATGAACGACGCAACTCGACCTTCTCAGATTCGGTCTCCGAAGCACGGAATTCCATCCGATCCTCCACTGACGATCTATTCTTCCCGCGTGCAGCCAAGGGTTCCTTCGACGCGGCGGATGCGCCCAATGAGGAGTCGCACTGGCATTCTGCACCCTTGGGCCTCGCCCTCCTGCCTGCCATCGCGGGGGTCTTTTTTCAGAACGGAAGCGCCGTCGTAACAGATGTTACTCTGCTGGTATTAGCAGCCATCTTTTTAAACTGGTCCGTCAGACTACCATGGTAAGACAGGCCCATACGATTACACCCAAACCCCCCCGGTTAACCAGGATGTCAGGGATTGGTATCGCTCCGCCCAAGCGATCCGACAAGACAAATTCTACGATGCGAACGAAATCCCTGTAGACATAGAGATTGACCACAGCCAGGATGCAAAAGATGACTCAGTCCCAGCAAAACAACGCACAACCGATACAGCTAGCGCTGCCAGTAGGGAGTTGCAAATCCACGAAATCGTCGCTCTAGCTTCGTGCTTCATCTTCCCGCTCATCGGAACATGGCTATTACACGCAATCCGATCCAAACTGTCCCGACCCTCAGAGGGTTTAGTCTCGAACTACAACCTAACCATATTCCTCCTAGCATCAGAGATCAGACCCTTCGCCCATCTATTACGAATGGTCCAAGCGCGCACGCTCCATCTCCAGCGCGTCGTCGCATCATCCACCGAAGCCCCCAAAGACAGAATAGACGCCAGCAAGATAATCGACCTCTCCAAACGACTGGAAGAGCTCGAAGCCCACATAGCAGAAACAGTTGCGGCGCGCCTCGCCCCCAGCCAGGAACAGTTCCAGCCCCAAGCGCAAGACTCCCTCGTCTCACATACCACAGCAGAAGTGCGGAAATCGGTCCAACCGGACATCGATGCCCTGAACCGCGCCGTGAGACGCTACGAGAAACGTACCGCGATGACGTCCTTTCAGACGGACTCCAGAATCGAAGCGCTAGAGGGTCAGGTCCGGGATGCCATTTCTCTAGCTGCTGCTGCGCAGCGTTCTAGTGTACGGAAACCGAAGAATGTTGTGTCCGTGCTGCTTGAGTGGCTTTATACGCTTGTTATGCTCCCTGCTCAGGTCTTCGTCTCCTTGGCTGTACTCCCATTCCATGTCGCGAGACGGTGTCTGCGGTTTGTTCAAGGTATTTTTCTTTCGGAACCACAGCCACAACCAAAACTTGCAAAAGGCAAGCTACCGCAAGAACGTAAAGCGCGGTCCCCGAAACGCCCAAAACGAGTACCCCAGCAAGATTCAGCAGAGACACATGGACTGAAGTCCATTCGCGAATATACATGACTGTTTATACGTCGCGATGTGATTATAGTATAGTTGTTCTTAGAGTGCTGATAGTAATTGTAGAACGACTGATATCCAAAGACGGTCTCTACTTCTTTATCCATGTTACCGCGTCAGTATTTCCGTCTAAGTTGACTCCAGTGTGCTGGAATGGGGAAGGATGGGATACTCTAATTAAGCATTTCTTTTTTTGCTCTCGGCGGCTTTCTTTGACATTGGCCAATCAATATTTAGAAGTTTATAGTTATATAGCGTACGGCGTCGCCGACTATACAATGCGCACGGAAAATGAGTACACGCTAAGCAAGCTTGTATATTCGCCAACTTACTAAGCTTATAATATCAAACGTCGCACACATCGTCTAGATGACGTCTCTAGTAGTTACCGTCGAATAATCTAAAGGTTATAGAAATAAGAGTATATTACAATACAATGCATACAGAACCCAGCTCGAATCCATAGGTATTACAAAAATATCCCCGATTACTAAGGGAAAGGAAAGTACATATCCAAGCGCATATATACGAGACAAGCACTATATAAGAGTTCAAGACCAACCACCGGAGGGACCTTTATTGTCAACCCCGATGGTCTTCAAGAAAGGCTCAATTATACTTCGTTTTCGGTCCTCCTGCGCTCGCCGTTCTCTATCCTTTGCTGGGACAGGGACGTTGGCGGAGATAAGGACAGTGGAGAATATACCCGCTAGGGCGGTTTCGACGGCTTGTCGGCGAACGGCGAGAGGGTTAGCAGCAGGTTCTGGTGCGTTTGAGGTGAAGGTGAGGGTTCGCCGTCGGAGATTGCCTGCGGCAGCGACTGCTGCAGCGGCTGCTGTTGCGGTTGGTGTGGAGGGCTGTTTGTTGGGGTTGGCTTGCTCATCGGACGGCTTTTCGGAAGAGTGTCGTGGGGGCATGGATGTTACTGGAGCGACTTCGTTGGCGATGCGAGCAAGCATGAAGGTGACGAAAGTGAAGGAGACGCTGTGGGCGGGGGAATATGCTAGGCTCTCTAGTACCCAGGCTTGGGATTCTTCCCAGGATAAAGGCGGCGCTTTTGTCTTCTCACGGGCGAGGATTTGCTGGTCTAGATCAGACCAAACGGGCGCAGTGACTATCCCGTCCTTCAAAGATCTAAGAAATACCAGTAAGGTCTCGCTTAAGATCTCCAGGCGGTGAAGCGAGGATACTTCGGGTGGAATGACATGGTTGAAGGGTTTGTTGGTGTCCAAAGCTTCCCGGACAGATGCCAGGAGGTGAGAACGTTCTTCTTTGTCTGTCAGATTCCATGACTCTGGTTCAAAAGGCCATGCAAACCCATGTGGCTCCCTAATCCACGGTGGAGAGTCTTCGGACTCGCCTCTGATCATGCTCCATTCGGCAATAGCACGTTCGGACAACTCCGATATCGATTCTGTCAGGCGGAAAAGCTCCCGCGGGGCTGACAGAGGGATTCCTACTTCGTCCTTCTGGCGTCTCGTCATCTCTGTAGCTGGCAATGTCCGTGCACCCGCTTCAGGCATGACGGTAAGTTCTTCCAAACTGCGACCAAAGCAGGTGGGCAACCACTCCCCATATACAGGGATGAAATGATCTCGGCCGTTGGTCACTCGAAGGACCAAAACTTCCTCTAACTTCAACTTTCCGTCATTGAGCAAACGTGCAAGCTGTATATCCTTGACACCTGCAGTAACTTCAATATTGGTAAGCTCTCCAGGCAATAATGTACACTCCTGTAAAGGTAACGTAGATGCCTGATCTTCCGGCTTGTCGCGGTGCGGCGGCTCAATCTGATATTCAAGCCAAGAGGGGTGATAATGACAGCCTTCTCCTTGTTCGGGCTTTTCGAATGAGAAAGTTGCAGGCACGCTGCTAGTATTCGCAACTGTCAAAGATCGAGTGACGGATACATCAAATGGTACGTCACCAAAACCTAGTGCATTCGGATCTTTTGTCTTATCCTTACTAGGCCCATGGCCGTGGCTGTCCACCACAACCGTCAAACCCGGCCGAGACTCATTTTCAGCCTTGTCCAGCTCTCGGACCACTTCCTGGTGAACCTTGGCCTTTAGGTGAGGGACAACCGATTCATAGGTTATAGTGAAGCCGGCTGCCAAAGGCTTGTGGTCAGATGAGAGGATTCCTTGATGCGAAATATAATAGTCAAGTGTAAGTGATTGGTCCGGATCACTCTGCGAGATGAATGAAGCACCGTCACTCGCGTCATCTTTGTCGGGGTCGTATTCATCTGCACTGTCCGCGCCATCAACATCAGGATCATAGTCGAAGAGAACGTTGTCATCTGCTGCGGCCTTATCTAGTCCCCTGGCTTTCATTTCTTCGTCCCGTTTCCTGGCTTCAGCTGCTTCCTTGACTAACTGTTCATGTCTTAACATGTCCCGCCGTGTCCGATACAAAACCCTATCGCACCAACTAGGGCCCCGTTGCTTTTCACTGGAATCGAACTTGGCGACGCTTCCTACATCATACTTGTACGTTGGCAGAAATGATATGCTACCTTCCCTCCATCCCTCGTGTAAGGCCTTCTGCTTGCTTTGTTGCAGGCGAAGCTGATCATGCGGAAGTAGCGACGATATTGTAGTTTGCAAAGAAGCTGGGTCTGTGTGAGGGTCCACGTCCTCATCGGAAACAGGCGGAGGAGCTATACTTGTCTCGTCCGTCCGTTTTGGTGACTCCTCTGAATCGTCTTCATCAGCCACATGTGTAGAGTTGTGCGTTTTATCGTACTCGTTCTCTGTATGTCGAGCAAGGACCTGACGCACGTCATCTCCAGGTATATCCTCTAGTCTATAATTAAGATCACCAAACCAAAAGGCAAAGTCTTCTTTGCCTATACTCTCGGTAGGCTCATCCCTAAGTGAACTTTCAGTATCGATTGGGTCAAACTTTGCGCGTTGGAGAATTTGGGAGGCGTCCCAGTTCCGTCGTTCCAGGCTGTTTTTATCCGACCCAGCTGCCAAATGACAGTTGACGAAGACAAGACACGTAGTCTCGCCTAGCATTAGGCGCGTCACTGCAGCGCCTTTGTTTCCCATGTAGCCGAACAGGCCTGTGCCTACATTGGCACAGCTGACCGACGAAACAGTCTCAGCAACAGAAGGAGAGGCGTAAATCAACAGCAACAGCCCCACCAGTTGCGACTCCGCAACTAATTGGTAGCCTGAGGGTAAAGCATTCTGCATCGCAGCTTTCCACCTATTTGCCGGTGCTGGATCAACGTAAGGCCTCAGGGCCTCCGCTGGGGAAGATATATCCACAATCTCTTGTAACCCAAGAACGTAGAGTCCCACCTGGTCCAACTCGGATCCAGATTCATTCAGGTGATCATCGCCCGTTTTAGCAGGAGCTTTTTCTAGGCCGGAGACTCGTAACCCGGCGAGCTGTTCGCATATTCCCTCCCGCTGTACAAACCATTTTCCGATATCCTCCTCCGTACCTTGAATGGCAGCCACATTCCACGTTCCGACTTTGATCTGAATAGACTGTTGAGTTGTATACTCGGATTTCCTCGCTTTAACGGCTTGTGGGAGCGATGAGGGGTCGAGAGAGGCATCAGGAGACGATCCGTCAGAGTGCGAGTCACCTGCGCCGGCGCCGGCACCGACCGGCGACTGCGACGCGCGCGGTTCGGTATCTGCCACCATGCTGAATAGAAACACTAGTATCAGTTATAATGAAAAAGAATGCCTATCGCCTGCCGCAGAGCATGCTATAGAGGCCCGGAGTCCCTCGGTAATCCGCAAATTAAGCGTTCACCTTGCGCTTTGGCAGCTTTTCAACAGCAGGCAGTGCGAGGACAATGACCAATTGGGGCGAGTTGTGGCGATCAGAGGGTCATTACGACAGTACAATAATCGCAGATCGAGCCAGTTAAGTGCCAAGTGCCTGTCCGATTATCACGCGCCTCACTGGCGGGAAGTATAAGAGAGAGAGTCAAGAGAGGTGGGTTCGCCCGCCGGTAGGATAGGTATGAGCCGATACGAATGACGACAACGATAAGAGGACCGCGCCGAAGCCAGATAACCCCGAGGCGTCTTCGAAACGAAAGAATGGGCGGTAGACGCAGAGTTAGACCAATATCGAGCCTAATGATTGAATTGGACTGGAAGGGCCAGGAGGAAACAGAAGTGGTTGTGGATCATTTATCGTCAGCTGTGCTTTCGTTCTGACGAAAGTCCGTGGGGCCGCCGACCGCTTCCTAGAACGGAGCTTCTATTTAATCCAATTCATCACCTGAGCTTATTTGCGACTTTCGCTCATTCCTCCATACCAACACTTGTCATTATTCATTCTCTGTTAGTTCATTCACTTGCTAAATACAGCCCCTTGTCTCTCTTAATCTCTGCCAGAAGCAGCCCATACTTAATCTCCTCTTTCTCTTCCTTAACCTTCACAATGACAACCCGCAGACCTCGACGACAAAACAACAATCACCGTCACAATCAGCCTCAACCCTCAGACTACGATTCAGACTATCAGAACTATTTCTCAGATACCCAACAACAAGAAATCAACATGGCACCTCCCCCAGTCCGCTCAAACGAAGAGCTGAACATCTCCGTCCTCCGCCGTCACAACCCCGCCATAACTTCGATTCTCTCCCTAGCGCCTTACGCCGTCATCTACATATTCAGCCCAACCACACGGCAGTGGGAAAAGAGCGGAGTGGAGGGCTCACTGTTCGTTTGTCAATTATCGCAGGGGTCTCTAGGCGAAGAACGATACAACGTTTTCGTGCTGAATCGGCGGGGTCTTCATAATTTTGATGTTGCTCTGACGGAAGGGGATAATGTGGAAATTACGGAGGAATATGTGATTCTCAAGGTCGACAATGACTCCGGGTTGGGTGTGGATAATAATAACGGCATGAATGGGAAAGGCGCCGATCTTCGCATATACGGTCTTTGGATTTACTCCGAACCCCCTCCCAACTCTACGGCTGAAACACGCAGTATCAATGCTCAGGTGATTCGGGAATGCGCCATACATGCAGGTCAAAGCTTGAAGCTGGCCCGCGAGCGACTGGAAGCTACTCGCCAGAATGGCCTGCACGCTGCAGCCGCGGCTGCGGCTTCTACGGCTGACCCCGTGGACGAGGTGCAATCAAGTGTTGCCATGGGTCGTCAGGTTTCTTTGAGGGATCTTTTTGGGCAACAAAGGGCCCAGGATGATGGGTGGAGTACAATGGCGCACCATGTTGGTCCCCAGGGATGGCACCAGCCTGGGATCAGTGGACCGACGGCGCAGCCGCAGCCACAACCGCAACAAGATGTACTAGGCGATCTATTTAGGAGGGCCGGGTTAGCGTACCAGGGGGGTCCCTGATCGAGGAACCCCCACCATTATCCGAGAGATATCTGTCAGGGTAATGTCATGACCACTTGCGATACCCATGAGATTTGCACAATGAGCGCAGTTTCCCTCCAATAAAACTACAGACAACCCTACGTTAGAATATAAATTAGAAACAAGGTGATATAAAGAAGCATATCCCATCTAAATACCCTTGTCAAATACAAAGAGCAAGTCTATAATCCCCCAGACATAGAATCACCACCAACCTTCCCTCCAAGCTCCATCAATCATTGACTATATCCAACACCATATCGGCCACTTTCTTCGCCACAACGTCGCTATGTTCTACAATCCACCTACATCAGCAAACCCCACCCCAAACACCTCAAAACAAGGAGACGGGAAAATGAACTCACTCAAGACAAAAGCATGCGGCAGCCCCTCCTCACAAACAACCATCTTCGGACCACTGTCCGTCTGCCCCCTCAGCTCAACCACCTCATCTCTCGTCCGCTCCGCAACCCAATGATCATTCCGACCAAAGTAGAAGAACAGCCGCGTAACCGGATCCTTGACGTCCGACATGCCCCAAACATCATCGCTCCATTTATCTGATGTGATGGTCTGCATCTCATCGGCAGCCATGTGTCTAAAACCCAGTTAGAATACTCTTCATCCCTCTTCAACACACTTCCCACTAGAAAATAGAGTAACCTACAAAGCTTGCTGCACACCATACCCACTTTCCAAGAAAGCAGCCGTAGTCTCGACCATATTATCCCGCGGCGATCCCATATAGAACCTAATCAGAGATCGTAAAAGACTACTCGGGAGCAGTGCCGTCAGGATGCGGACCAAGAAGCCCACTACGACAGCCAACTGTGGGATAAAAGATAGCATGCGCTGCGATAGATCCGATTAGCCCATGTATTTCCAACCACCAAAGTAAAAGAAACAGACAATGTATACTCACCGTCAGCTTCTGCCCGGAGGGCGACTTCGCAATATCAACAACAGTAGGAAACAGCATGACGCCGCCGATGATATCAAAATCAACAGAAGGCGAGGTACCACTGGTCGAGCGCTCGCGGTGTCTCCGTAGGAGCTCCATGGCTATGTAGCTGCCCACCGAATGGCCGATGAGAATCACCTTAGGTCTTGGTGATGGGACCCCGTTTGATGCTTTGCTGGAGTCGGTGAGGAAATTGTCCAGCTTGTCTTGGACGAAACAAATCTGTTCTTCCAGGTCATAGTATCTGGGTTTGGAGCCTGGTGTTTTGGTAAGCTCGAATCCTCCCAGACTGTGTCCGTAGATCTGGAAGGCATGGTTTTTTCTTGTCTGTTGTGTGGACTGTGTGTTTAGCTTGTCTGAGAGAACGGAGAGAAATGTGTGGTAGTACCCAATTAGGCCTGGGTTGCCGGATATCATGTAGATGGTGATGGGGGATAGTGATGGGTCGGATGCGGACGATGTGTGGAAGAAGCTGTCCGCAGAAATATGGGGTTGTCGGGTGGAATACATGGTACTCAGGTGCTTGTGGGTTAAGGTAGATGGTTTTAATATATGTTTATAGCCTATGCGTGTTGAATTGGCATACCTGAGGTGGTACATGAATGGGATTCACTTGTAGAAAGGGTATGGAGTTCGATAAATTGAATCGGAGAAATCGGAGTTCCCGTCATGCCTCGGCACCGACTTAGAACATCAAGTTACAGATTATATACTACCACTCTATTACAAAGCGCAAGACATTTGGATACGATATATCGTTCTTCACAATAGTTCAGAGACACGGTTCGTTGTGAAGGTAGCGAGTTACTGTGCCGACAAGTATGTGCACTAATATCTCAGAAGAATGCAAATAACAACTCTCTCGACAACCCGCTCCATCGAACATTCCCAATCATAATAAGGAACAGAAAGAAACGAAATCCTCCATACCAAGACCTCTGAAATGCAGGCATAGCATACGCACACAGTGATTCATCGCAATTCATCGCATCCAGCCAGACTCCATCCCTATCAACCAGAGCTCCTTAAACCCCATAGATAGACCGAAGAACAATACAGAAAGCTCCAGTTATGCCAAAGACCCAGGTGGAACAACACCGACCATCAGACGCCAGAGGCTGGCAGCATGCGCGCTACTTCCTCGCTTCTGATTGCATATCCATTTTGTTTTATTTTTCGCCACGCATTGACAGTGCAAATGAACCATGAGGTGCTTAAAGGAAGGACACTCAAATAAAACAAGATTGGAGAAAGAAACAAACAAAACATGGTAGCTGTACACCAGGCCAAAATTTCGACGATGAGAAGGTAAGAATAAGACGGAAATCGCAGGCTTCAGAGCAACTGGAAACCTAATACATGATATCTAAAAATGCCAAAAGAAAAGCACAAAAGATGTATAGCAAAGGATGAGGGAATCATACAGGGATATGCTGTGAATCAGTAAAGGGGAAATGAAGAAATGAAAAAGACTAAACCATTACTTCATCTGGTATCTAGGAGATTCGCGGGAAATGCAGGTAGAACTCCAAGTACTCGGACAAACGAGGATGATGCTTGCGGGGAAGCCCAGTCATGCGAGTTCCATGAATGGCAGGAGAAATATCACGGGAGTATAGCTAACCACTTTCACCGTGGTTCTCGCCACGGTTTTCTTTCTCACTGCTTGGTGTACTTGCCGCAGGATCAGCGGAGTCCGTCTCTGGCGATGGCTTAGTGCTAAGATTGATGGCTATCCTTTTGGGCGCTGTGCTGCCAGTCACAGTTCCCAAAATACTCTGGGTTGCTCCTTTTTCAGCAGCAGCTGAGAGCGACCCAATTGACACGCTCCTCTTCTTTCGTAGCATACCAGCACCCCCAGGACTGCCACTGGTCGAGCTCCTTCGTTTCGGCCCAGAAGTTAGCTTAACCAGCTCATCATCGTCCTCCTCCTCACGCCGGCGCTTTTCTGACAAACGCTCTGGAGGCGACTGCACGGTTGATGAAACAGGAGTCGACGGTGTGTCCACGATGGAGTCGGTGGCGGCGTCAAGGGTTGGGGTGCCTTCTTGCCGTACCAACTGTTGCTGCTTCTGCTCTTCACTGCCCTCCGGCTTCGTGTCCATAGCATCGTCATCCTCATCGTCATCCGGATAGTCGACTAGAGGCTTGACGACTGGTGAGGCGGAACCGTTCTGCATCTGAGGAGCCATTGTTGCATTGGCCGCATTGTCATGTTGCCACTAGCAAAAATATCAGTATACTGATTGGTAATCATTAATGATGAGTATAAATTGTCTTACCTCTTCCTCATCGTCAGATGTGTTGAAATATTCTTCCTCTGCCGCATCCATCTCCCTAACACCCTGCCAACGTTGTCCGTTGGGCGGGACTCGACGAGCTGGCGTACCTTCATCTTGAGAGTAGAGGGTGGGCTCTGCTTCTGTGCCATAGCCCTGCATTTGCTCATAGCGTAGGATCAAGTCCTGGAATGTATTGACATAGGTAATATTCTTGAGCTTTTCACCATATTTTTCAACAACATGCAGAACTATAGGTTTGATATTTTCACGCTTGATGAATTCGAAGAGTTCGAGACAAGCTGAATTAAGGAGGTTATCGCGTGGCATTGTTTCATAGACGATGTCAAGAATCAAACCAAACGTGTTGTTATGTGTCATCAGGGCTTGGTAAAATGTGTCTTGGAGGCTAATTAATGTACGGAAAAATTTCAATGCGACTATCCCGAAGGTAAGCAGTTAGACAGGAACCTCTGTACACGATTTTGAATAGGTCAACTTACTCAGTTTGAGGTGCTTCTGAGGCACTGTAAGTAACTGAGCAACTCTGGGAGCGAGTGCTTCATTATGGATGACAGCACGACTTCTGTACAGATGTTGACGGACAAAAAAAGTAAGGATATCAACAAGATGGGCATACAAGGCCACCTCTTGAAACTTGAGGTCGCTAACTAAAGAAGTGAAAGAGAATTAGCCGCGTGAACAGGCTGAGGCTGACGTGACCAACAATACTTACGGCTGGCACGGTTCTCGAGGCGTTTTAACGGCATGAATAGCCTCTTTGCAGACTCATCAAAGTGGTTTTGAACAAAAGCATCAGAGAGAATATTAGGACGTGGCTTCGAGTACTGTTCGGGTCCAGCCCGACCCATCGTGTCCTGCAAAAGAATCTGGGGGTCCAATAGAACCTTGACTGCATCCGCGAGTTGATTCTTCACGCCGAGATCCGACTCCAAGTGAAGTAAATCAATCAACGTATCAGTCAGCGGCGTCTTCTTCTCATTCACGGCCTTAAGCATATACCCCCGCATCATGAGAGGATCATGGTCAAGCAGTGCAACTAGAATATCAATTCCAGTCGTGCGCATAGCGGGGTTAGGGTGTTTGATAGCGAAGGCGATCACAGCGAAAAGGCCATGGCTGATGAAGTTTGCGAAGAGATTGGCGCGCGCCGGGGCTTGCAGGTTTTTGGCAATGGATGCGCATTGGTGGAGGAACTGCACTGCATCCTCCTTGCGCTTTGCATCGGCATTTCTCGGATCAAAAACCGAAAATAATTCCTTCAGGAAAAGGCCGTTTGACTGGATATGGTTTACGATCTCCACCTGGTTGAAAAAGATCAACGAATTGAGGACTGAGAAAGTCGGGTCGTCTAAGATCCGGGCCAAGACCACATCCTTTAGATACTGCAAACGCCAGGTGCACCGGATTTTGCGACGGATGAGGGCGTCTTTAATCGGGACCACCTCTTTGTAGCGTGACTGGTCTGCGAGGTATTGCCGATGGTTGGCTTTGTGTGTCGGAAACTCGGGGTCGTCTGGGATCTCGTCAGCAATCGCACAATGACACAACAAACCCCATGTTACGTACACTCCAGAGCCCCCACAACTCCTAGAATAATGGGGTCCGTAACGACGGTCTCGATAATGGTATTGTCATTGAGAAGGATGAGGGATTTCATGATATTGCAGAGACGGTGTAGGTCCGGCAGGCTCTCGAGATCTTCTGCCACTGTGACTAATGGTATGAGCTTTGTTATGTACTCTTCCCGGATAACAAACTTCGATAATGCGTCTCGGCCGGCTTGGGTCATGCTGGCTGCTCTCATGACATGGTCAATTTCGGGGAGGTTTCCGAGCTCCGGAGCGGGTAGCATTATAGACTGATATGTTTCGAGATCGTCGGAAAAGGCATCGTCTAGGGAAGAATCCCTTGTCAGTAACGAGAGTCCACCAATCTGCCAATGACAGACGAAATAGGAACGCCGGGTGTCTACCTGCTGCTGCCAGGTTCGTAAGGTGTTGCTGAACGCCATTGACAAAATTCCTTTCGCGACTGTTGTCAGCCAAGAGAAAAAGGACACTGAGTCACAATGTCCGAGCGATGCCCTACCAAATCACGGCGCAACCCTCAGGCTCCTGGAAGCTCAATGCCATATCCGTCCCATTGGGTTCCGTCCATACTATCAGGGTCTCTGGTAGTGTCGCACAAAATATTAGTATCTTCCAGTTTGAGTTTGCGATGCGGAGGGCGATGGGAGAGTGGAACCTTGCTGTTTCTGGTACCCATCATCTTTGGAGATTTTTGTCTCCAAAAGTACCCGTTCGGGTTCATCTTCAGATTCGACGAATATTCGCGGTTCATCCTGCAGGAAGATAGAGTGGGGATGTCAGCGACCGGGATGAATGTTTGAGAAAGCGCGACCCGTAGCGTTTGCGCCCGACGACCGATGTCGCGCTGGACGGACGATCCCCCATGCGATGAAACTTACGTCCAGGATCTGGCCAGTACAGAAACCAGTACCTCTATCAAACCAGTCGTTATCTCTCAGTTCGTAGACCTTGACTCGTTTGCGATCGCTGGGCGGTTGCACCTCCAACGCCATGATCTGGCAACAGGGGGAAGGTGGCGTCTCGTCACTCCGGGACAACTCAGGAACGAGTGCACCGGCGCGCAGAGAGGCCCGAAGTTGCGGGAGAGATAAGAGTGAACCGCTGCCTTGTCCGGATTGGACGAGGGGTTGCGGACGGGATTAAATGGAAGAAGTATGATGGGGGGGAAAGAATTGTGATGGGGAAGAAGAAAAGGATGGACGGATCGGAAAGACGAACAGGTCACAGGTGATAACGGGGATGGCACACTTTGCTGCTTTTGCTGCGGATGATGAATGATGATCTGAGTTTGGGTCGGGACCACCTGACGGCCTCGGTAGCGGTCGGCCGCTATTTTTTTCTCTTCTCTTTTTTTTTAAAAAAAAAAAAGGGCTTTGGGGTTGGCGGCGCGCAAAAATGGAAAATCAAAAACCAGGACAAGCAGCACACGCGACCGAAAAAGGGACGAACACCAAAAGAGCTGAAACTGCTGTATTGATTTAAGGTACCCAACCCTTGCCTGATCAGGTGTGGGGTTCAGTGTTGAGATTGTTGAAAATCTCCGGATCTACTTTCTACAAATAATCAAGAAAAGAAAAGAAGCCAGTAAACAAGAAGATAAGAAACAGCCAAGTATATCTGGGGAGCCCCGGTTTAAGGTGAAAGGAGGATAGTTTGAAGCACTGATCGAACAAGTGGTTTCGAGAAAGGAGAGAAGCCGGCAAACTACGGGGATCTGCAAGGCAATGAGTGGATGAAATGACGTGCACCCGCGGTATTCACACCAGAATAGAAACCCTCTCGGGAAAGGTATAAAATCAAAACATTAGAAACAAAGTAGGGCAGAAGCATGAAGCCTACTCCCCTGAGGGAAATTAACGAAGGCGATCTCCATGATTCATGTATGTGTACGGAGTATATGTCGATAGTACAGTACATTTATCCCATGATTTGCAACTATAATGGTCCCTCGGTTAATTATAGCTATGCAATATATATATATATTAGATCCAAGAGGACTAAGTATCATATATTGTGCATAATTAAGATGTCCCTAACTAACTACTACGTGTATGTATGTATTGTCAGACAATGCTCAGGGGTGGGTAAAATAGAGTACAGAAGGCCTAGGCCATGTTTGATTAAAGGCTATTCCCGTTCTGCCTTATATAGAACTTTACTTGTCGGCTAAGAATAGCAAGGTAGGTCTCTCTTTTCGGAAACTTCCCCAACCCAAATCCTTTCCCCCCCGCTTTACCCATGGAACCTCAATGGGACCTTGAATGCAACTCAGATTCACAATGGCCACCAATGGGATTTCAAGTTATCCAGTACGGAAGAATTGGATTGTCTGAACAAAGTGTTTCGAAACATAGTATCTCACGTTGCATATAGTAGTTGTATCCGTGGATGCTTATCATTGATCGTGGCTTACGTCTAAGCATGCACCGGGCATCTACTACTCCCGTCTGTCATACCCAATGCTCATCACGCTACCCACGCTATCAAATATCTTTCTTCTGCCTACCCGAGGTTCTCTGCTAATGAGACCTGAGTAGCAAAAAGTCTTTTGAGTACGAGTCTCCTCCCATCTCAATAACCCCTAAGGGATGGGGGGAAAGATAACGGGGGAAGTTTTGTCATTCCCGAAGGAGCTATCAGACTGATAGTCAATACGATAACCAAGAATATATACCCCCTTTCCGTCAGCTTCAAAATTCTTCTGATCATATCTTCAAGGTTCAGGCTATGGCTTTTTCCAGAAAAAAGCGGGACTGCAGCCGATGAGGTCATTGCCACCTTAATTTAAAGTCTATTACTGTGGCCTGAGGTATCAACATCTAGGTCATGTGAGTATGACGGAATGATATCATAGCATGTTGCCTTGGTCGTGGACTAGGATTCCTTGATGTCTAGCGATAAAATGAATGGTGGAGCATATGTTTGACTTTCCTTGCGGGCAAGCGATCCATGATGATGCCTCGCGCAAGTTGAACAATCGTATACGGAATTGAGTGGCTAGTCCATGCAAGAACAGCGTTCGTACTTTCTCCCTTGCTGATATTGGGTAGCTCCTCACCTATAGAGAGCTCTGCAGCATGCTCAACACCAGCGATCGTGACCAGGATTAGTAGTGGCACACTGGTACCTACATCAGTTAATGGAAGATTGGGGGGGTCTAAGCGTTTTTCCACCATCAGGATATAAGGTGTGTTCTGTTTCTCCCGCCCGCCAAGCTGCCGGACTTCCCATTCGCTGATTGGCCGCCAAGGATGAACTGGCGTCGGACAGATCCGCCCCATCCACTTGCATTGAAATTAGCTAATTACACAGTGGGGTAGCCATGGCCATGATTGGCCAGGGCTTCCACGAGGCCTCTCGAGCGGACATCGTCCAATCGATCCATGGGGCCACTGGCGAAAATTCCCCAATCAGGATAGGCTCAGTTCTTCCGCCGCCTGGACCTTTGCCCACGAGTTTTTTTTCCTTCTTTCTCGTCCCTCCTCCTCTCCTCTTTTCTACACAACCTTGTCTTCATCTCTTCCGAGTTGAAACATTCAGAGACCATAGGCGAGCGACTTCCGGGAGTTTTGCGCTCGTTTAGGTCTTCAAAAGCTCCCATTCACGCTTATCAACCCATACCCCACTATCTCGACCGTGCGAGAACTACTCTTGATAACGTCTAATTTCACCATCTCAAAACTGCTCGGACAGTCAGTACGCTGGTCTCATCATGTCGGACGTCAAAGATCAAATTACCGTTCAAGCGTCGGCCGCAACTCCGCACGATACCTCCTCGCTTGCTCAATTCCCGAAGGACGATACTTCGGCGGGTGTAGATGTAAATGCCCGTGAAGCGGACTCTGCTTCAGAGGAGGTTCCTGCGGACCAGATCGACAAGAAAAAGAAAGGCTTCCTTGCATATTTTACGACAAAGGAGTTCTATATCATTCTGATACTTGGGTAAATTGCGACATTTTCTTGACCCTTGGTATTACCGGCCAGTAGCTTACGTCCTACTACAGACAGATCTTGGCAATCACGAACACAGCTACTAGTACTTTCAGTACACTCCTTTCAGACAAAGGCACCTCAATTCCGGCTTTCCAGACTTTCTTCAATTATGTACTGCTGAACATCATGTTCACCCCGTACACCATGTACCGTTACGGCATCAAGGGCTGGGCCCAAATGGTGTGGAAATCCGGCTGGAAATGTAAGTGAAGCTCCACATTGCTGTACATGGGACTAGTTGGATCTAACTATTCAAACTTTTGCGATCCAGATATTATCTTGGCATTTTGCGACGTTGAAGGCAATTATTTCATCGTGCTGGCATACCGATACACAACTATGCTTAGTGCCCAGTTAATTAACTTCTGGGCCATTGCAGTCGTCGTCGTCATCTCGTTCCTGTTCTTGCGCGTCCGCTATCACATCACACAAGTCCTGGGTATTTTGGTCTGTATCGGCGGCATGGGCGTCTTGATCGCATCCGACCATATCACCGGCACCAACGGCGGCGACGTCAGCAGCGGCAACCAACTTAAAGGTGACCTGTTCGCCCTCCTAGGCGCAACTTTCTACGGTCTCGCCAACACCGGAGAAGAGTACTTTGTCAGCACAGCACCCGTCTACGAAGTATTGGGCCAGATGGCTTTCTGGGGCATGATCATTAACGGTGCCCAAGCCGGCATTTTCGACCGTGCTTCGTTCAGGACCGCTACCTGGAACAGCCAAGTCGGTGGTTATCTCGCCGGTTACACCCTTTGCCTGACCTTCTTCTACTGCATGGCTCCGCTCCTCTTCCGGTTGTCGTCCGCTGCTTTCTTCAACATCTCCATGCTGACCATGAATTTCTGGGGCGTCATCATCGGCATCAAGGTCTTCCACTATACCATCCACTTCATGTATCCGATCGCCTTCGTGCTTATCATCGTCGGTCAGCTGATCTATTTCCTCGGCCGTCGGGTCCTGGGCGAAGCGCGCAAACCTTGGCTGGGTAAAAATCAGGAACGTGGTGTATCGGGTCTGTTCACTGCGAAGAGAATGATCGATACTGAGGCTGTCGCGCCTAATCATAATCCTAATTCTACGACTCATGATTCTGCTACGGCCAATAATGATCCTCACACGTCACATACTAGTCCGGTTTAGGGTGGCGTTCGGGGGTTTGTTACCGTTTCTTGTTTTGCGAATACTCCTTTTCATTTCTTTTCACACTCGGCCTTTAATTCTGCTCTATATATCTCCCCATCATTTCATGATCTCCCTATAACGGCTATTGAGCTGATGTGTGGTATACTATCGTGCAAAAAGTTACTGTTTTCTCGTCTCATTTTCCTTTCTCCAACTTAATACGATCTCTATATCCTCTGGAATATATACTAGAGATAGAAAATCCAACATGATATCAGATTTTGGTACAATTCAGAAGCAAAAATTCCTTGTATCTACTGTGACTGAATACCGGAAGCTCAGATTAAGGGTATGCAAGACGTGACTTCGTATCATGAGATATATCAAAAAAGAAACCAGACCTGCATAGAAAGAGGTGGGCCAAATGGATTGGAGAATAAGTATAAGAAACCAGAACACAAGACAAAACCAATAGGAAACCAAACTCAATATGAAAATCCAAGATGCCATACCAGAACCTAAGTGCAGATCAGACTCCGATAACTCTTTTTATGTTTCCCTGCTCCCCTTATGTTCCGATGCCCATGCCCCAAGATAGAAGAAACAAGGTGACAGAAGAAAGAAATAGCGAAACTCAACCTTTTGGTGCCCATACCTATCGCAAAATTAAAGAATCGCATGCTTTGGCCAAACTCACAACCCGAACGATGACATGTAACACCGGAAACCTTCCCGAATGAGCTGGAAACAAGAGCCCGAGACATACACTCACAAGCATGTAAATACAAACCCCAACCAAAAAAGAAGAAAAAGGCCCAAATGCCAATGAAATATCCAAAGTGAAAACATGGAACAAATGCAAGGACAAAGTCATAGAGACCAAGTTACCAGACATAGAGATAAACGATGAATGAACTCAAAAATGCCAAAAGCACACCAAGGGGGAATACCGACTCCAGTAACCAACAGGCCAACCAAGTTCCATAGTCAGTAAACCAACCTGTACCAATTAACTGTCCACATATGACGGAGCGCTAAACAGAACGTATCTTGCACCACTTCTCCCATATATGTACCATGCTCTTTCCCAAGATTTGAATCATAAATAGAACCCTCTCTTATAACGCCACGACATAGAAGCGAACGCATATTGAATGATGAAGCGTCAATTGGAGCCGAATCGTTTGTTTCGTAAATCAACCCCAGACGGAGGCTTGGACGCCCAGTCCGTTCTTCGATCCCCAAACGCCGCCGCCATTACCCCAGCCGAGCGCCACACCACCGCTAGCTTCTTTCACGCCGGGAGTTCCTGCAGAAGCGGAGGCGGAAGGGTTCGAGGCCGACGAGGCCGAACGATTATTGGTTGCGCCTGCGTCACCCGGTGTGAAGCCGAAACCAAGAGGAGACGGCAGGGGTGTCGTAGAGCGTTTGTTCAGAGCCGGGTTGGCAGCCTGGACTTGACCCGCTGGCTGGACCGGGCGAGAGCCGATAGGGCCCACGGAGCCAATGGGACCGCTGGTTGGTTTCGAATGCGCCTGCCTCGCGGAGGGCGAGTCGGATCTCCCGGGGGAAGAGGTCGAGGTCATCGGTTGCTCGACGTTGTCATACTTGCCGAAGACAGGGTTAATGCCCGAGCTCGGCGAAGACGTACTGGTCGCGCGAGAAGGGGATTGAAGAGATGCGCCGGCTTGAGCAACGTTATCAGTACTACCTTGGACCGGGGTCTGGGCCATCCCGAAGGGATCAACACCACGCGGGGATGGGCCACGGACACCCGTGGCAGATGTTGGGGTACCACCGCCCTGGCTCTCCGATCGTGGGTTGTCATCCGCAAAGCTGCCAGGAGGGAAGAAGGCGGGGCTTTCGTTGCCGTACAAAGCCCTATGTTGGCGAGCTAGGAGTTCTCGACGGCTTTCTTCGCTCATGGCGGCCGGACTGAGCGAACGATCGGACTTGTTTCCAGACATTTCGGCAAGCAGGCCTTTGAGAAAAGAAAAGAATATTAAAACTCATGTTCAAGAAAGGAACCACGTCCCAATGTATTATACAATGCAACCGATACATGTGGGCAAAGGAAGAAGTCATGGGGAATATTGGAGAAAGAAGCCAAAAAAAAGAAGAAAAGCTCCAAAGGCAAATGCTACCACGTACTTCGGTTGTACTGTTGCTCCTGGTGATAGTTGCGGAGCTCCCTTTCACGCTGTGCCGCCATCCGACGCTTTGCTTGCATCATGTGCTCTACTTCATTTGGGCGTCCCTGAAAACGTTGGGAGGCATAGAACCCCTGAAGGTTGGGGTTCGGGTGCATCCTGGCTCCGTCGAAGTCGCTAATCGAGTGGTGACGCTGGGACATGGTATTGGACACACGGGGATCTGCAACCATGTTTAGATATCGATGGGTGACAATAAAGTAGTCTAAGGTTTCATACCGTAGTCGGGAAACGGGCGGCCCATCATCATGGGCATCGAGTCCCTCCGAGGAGCAGACCACAGTTTTCCGCTCTTGACAAGGTTGTCGATAGCACGATCCACCTCTAAGAAAAGGAGTCAGTCATTGTTCAACTCTGTTTCTTCGGCGACACGGAGAGTGCCGATAACAATCCACGGCAACCAGCATGACGTGATATATGACCACATCACGAAACCCAACCAAAAACCACCAATAGCCGGTATTTCGCAGATTGTCCTTCTCAAGCCAATGTTGGAGCAATGATAGAATGGAAAAGACACAGTCATACCGTCAAACTGAGAGGAAAAAGCAGGAACTTCGTCGCGTTGAGAGACAGAGCTCGATCCTGGAAGTCGGAGCATTAGCTTCACTGTATGGGGCAAGAGCATCATCGCCCAGGCTTATGATCAAACCATACCCGAACGCGACGGGGGAGCAGGTTGCTCCCAAGATACCTGGCGCGCAGCGGGCGCTTGCCAACCCTGAGGTTCGTAGTAAGACATATTCACAGACGAGAATCGCGACGATCAACGAAATGGAAGCTGCGAAGGTTGATGATCCGCTCGGAGATGATCAGGGGAGACTGTTGCGAAGTGAGGGTAAGCGTAAGCTCCCGGGCCAGATTAAGACAACATGGAATTGAATGACAGGATATTGCGAATTGAAGCGGAGGTTCCAAATAGATAAACCAGGTGTGCGAGCGATAGAGAGAGAAGGCGCACGGCGACCAACGATGACATTGATCGGACTGATTTTAGGATGCAGAATGTTTCTTAAAGCACTCCGTATCAGAAACTTTTTTTTCTATGATTTCTTGGCTTCTCTCTCGACCGACAGCGAACACGGGCGGAATCATTTGGAACACCCCGACTGCAATAAACTTAGGGGAAAGACTTGCGTCTCTTTTCAAATAGTAGAGCAAGGGGTCTCTCTCTCTCTTTCTTTTTTCTTTCTTCTTCTTTATGCTTTTTTTTTGTTGAATAAAAACAAAACCTTCTGTGAAGGCGGGTTGACATGCGCAGCCCAAAATGCCAATGCGTTGTTCGGTAAGGGAGTGGACTTACAAAAAAAGGAGTGATTATCCTCCCAACAAAATATCCGGACGGCTCTACCACGAGTGAACGAGGCAGAATGGTAGCAATAGACAGCGACTTCTCACCCTAGAGGCACGGCAGACGAAGAGTCTGGCGTGGGGAAATCAAAGGGACTGAGAAGGTGTGAAAAGGGAGGAGGAAGCCGGGGAGGGGAGGGAGGGAAGACGAGAGAGGGTGAAGGAGGAAGTGGTCGGGTAACAGAGCAGGTGCGACAAGCCAAAGAGAGAAACTTGGACTTGGACTGGACTGGACTGGGGCCGTGAGGGGACAAGAAAGAGGGGGAGAAAAGGAAAGAAACGAAAAAGCGTGATTGTTTCGTTCTCTCTGTCTCTCTGTCTTTTTTTTTTTTTTTCCCTTGACCGGGGGATAAGAAAAGATAGAGATCGTTTTTTCGAATTACTGTACAGTATTACGGAGTTGGGCAACGCTCCAGACTCGAAAAAGGAAAAAAGGTATTCACCCTTCGAAAAGAGGAAAATTAAATAAAAAACTGAAAATTGAAAATTGAAAAAGCAGATAGGAAGAAAAATTACCACACACCTTGGGAGAGAAGCACACAAACACACTTTCTCGTCCACACCACAACACACAATCAATCCACCAGTCCCGAGAAACACAAAATTATTATTAACAATAAAAAGAGTAGGGTGGGCATCGGATGGATTTGGCTTGTTCTGGTTGGTGATGGAAACTCGGCTTGTTGAATCGCTTCTTCCCGGTCCCCATTTTTTTTCTCTCTGGTAATTAATACTGTGAACTCTCACCACCTCTCCTTAACCTGTCTGGTCACCTGCTATTCTCCTCCCTCTACTCAAAGGAAGGAAAAGTAATTTATAGGTTGGTTGAAAGTTCACCAGATACTCCTCCATTGTAGGTAGAACTACCCTGAAGGACTGGAACACCCTTTTATGTTCCTGACATCTCATAATTGGAATTATAAGGTAAAGAGTCGGTGTTCCCCGGGACCGTTCCACTTGTATCAAAAATCGGTATCGATCAGTACAGTTACTGGACCAAATGAAGATACCTTACAGAAGACCAAGATAATTAATTACCCTAGACAGCCGCAATGGTAAAGTCTTCACTATTAAGGAGGATTATGATTCCATGAGTCTGCTGATACGCCTAATTGGAAATAGATGAAATCATGTTCCGGCTCAGCAGTCCTATGAAAAGGCATTATCCCAGAGAAGCCGCTGCACGATGGCGTATGGGTTGTCTGAGGGTTAGCCGGTAACCGGAGATTATTCTTGGTTGTAATAACTTGTCTTGTTTCTTAGCGCGGCCCGTCAACCTTTTTGATAGAGACCGTCCCACCTCGAGAGGTACTTCTCCAAAGTAGTCAAGTACTCCTATCTGGGTATTATCTCTTGTGAATAGGGTTGGATTCGAAAGACATTGTGAGTAGCACTATTCTCACCTTGTCTTAGCGACGATGCGACACTAGTAACTTCTAGAGAATATTATCTGGTATT